TAACGCGACCTCGATAGAACCGAAGGGCCGTTTTTTCACTCATTCCGCCACATAACACACCGACGACGACGACACGACCACCCCGGACGGCGAGCGCTATATATAATATATCTTCCCCCTCTACTAAAAAAAAAATGGATTCTTATCGACGTCTTGTCCGACGGCTTAAAATACTAAAACCATAGTATACTGTAGATAAGCAATGAATATGGAACGACGGCTGGACGCCCTATTTGTAGTTAATTTTTCTGTCAATAAGGCTTTAGAATGGATTTCAAACGTATTTTTGCCGGTTCATCACATATATATATATATATATTATGTGTTATTCTGTCTGTAACTATGCCACACGTTTCGACCGTCCTTCCCACCGCTGGGTGACCCAAATCCATACAAAAATGTGTGTGAATATGCGTTGCCAATCATAACAAGGGCATTGTCTATCTGTAGTATATTTTTAATCTAAAACTCTAAAACATATTCTATTAGTTTGCACTACGATACTCTATTTTTGAACATAAATCGACGGTATATAATGCACAAATATCTATATAGAAGAAATGAGTCGTGTATAGGCAAAGACTCAAAGTTTTACTGTTAAAAGGTGTGTTGAATAATCTTCTTCTTCTTTGTAATCGACCATTAAGATCATACATTCAAACACAAATCTTGCCACTTCCCCCTATCTATCTATCGCTATGTCATGCCAAATAGCATTTGGGTCCAGCATTTGTACACCCTTCCTGACTTGGTCCTCCCATCTTAGTCGTGGTCGCCCCAGAGGTCTCTTTCCTTGTGGAGTCCCACATTGAACCATCCGAATTAAAGTTCCTTCTTTTCTCCATGCATGTCCTGCCCATTGGAGTCTCCTTTTTTTTGTTTCTCTAATTATATCAGGCATTTGGTACAACTGTTGTTAAATAATGGTAATAGTAATATACCAGTATGAATTTTCAAACAGCGTTCGTGTAAGATTTAAAAAAAAAAAAACTATAACGTATTACGAAATAGTAAAAAGGGAGCTCGCTGATTATTTGTAAAATGGCTACGCTATCATTTGGCAAGTAGTAGAAAAGAAATATGTCTTTAATGCCTTCTGCAAAACAGTATTTATTTAAAACATTGAAAACACGTTCTACGTTTTACAACTCACATACGCGTGTAACTGACGACGATTTTAAATTAAACTTTCGAAAAGTTTGTTGATAGAACAGCGAGTGGAATGATCCACAATTAACGCGGCCAAGAAAATACCGACAATACGTCTGGGTAAGATCGAACACGGTTTGTAAAACTAATTTGAAAGATCTCATATTCGTTGACGGCAGGCGATGAAAGCTTATAAGAAAATAACACAATTGGTATTTCGTTGGCGTGATAAGACATGTTAACCATCCGCACGACAGCGCTGTCATCAAAGTGGTAGTAAGCCGTTGCGATGACTGCAAGTGTCACATTACTACTCAGTAAGGTCGGAAGGAGAAGATATTGAAATTCCACGTTGGCAACACATCACAGTTAACGTGTTGATATGCTATTTTAGCTGTTGTCGTTTAAGTCTGTATAATATTGTACGGCGTGCATTTATTCTGTATGCTCTGACTAGACTAGCTCGTCGACTAGTTTTCATTTTTTAGACTTTAGTGGATTAGTATCACGTCCTAATGTTAACTATTCCCCAACCAGTTAGGCGCAGATGTAATCAGACGACTCAAGTAGGAGAGCAGAAGCGGTTATTTCTTTCTCTTGGATATAGTTGTTTACCTAGAGCAACTCAGAAAACAGAGAGAATATAAAACTGTCATCAATATTATTATTCTAGTAAAAACATCTCAAAATTTCCTTCGCCGGCGCAAGTACTCTTTATGATTGGTTCGGGCGTAAGTACAAATAGATGCATTTTCCATATCGCCGTTTTGTTTGCGTACGGTTGTTTTAATATTTATTTGCTTAGAAATAATAGTCTCGAAAAAAAAAACTTATAATAATATTATTCTTCTTCTTTCGAGATGCACACAACGACGTGCTTTGCGGTGAGTATACTTTTAGGGTTTCTCAGAACCACAAAAGATCGCCGGCGTTTCTTTTGTTTGCTTAAGTTGGGAAAATAATAATTGAAATTTTCAAATGATTTATTATACCTAAAACACGTCGGTAGCCAAAAATGTGAAGTATGCAATAATAATTACAACAATTTAATAATGGTTTGCTTCTCTCTGTCACTTTTTCTCTATTTCATTCTAAGATATTATTATCTTGTATGTGGATTAAATTCGGCGTATGATACTTGCTATTTCAAATGAATTAATGTTAAACATTTTTAGTTTCTACGTATCGTTAAGGAAAAAAACTAATAAACCTGTCAGTTCAGTTAAAATATTTGCTTGTCGCAATCTTATATTTATGTAATTTGTTTTTATTTGTTGTCTACTATCTTCTTTCGAACTCAAATTTTAAGTCACCGGAATCGACCGCTCGTACAATGATTCTTGCGTTGTAATTTTTTTTCTTCGTGGTCACAATGTGTTACTATGTACGTTTGTCTCCAATAAAAATAAATTACTCAGTGTTCAGTGTTCATCCAGTCGAAACGGATTTACAGCGTCCGGAAGAAGTATTTAGACTTTGTAAACTGCACATCACTGTTTTAATAATGACTTTAGCTTTAAAATAGTTTATTTTCTACCAGTAAGTTATGACCGTCTGAATTCAATTAGCCATAATGCCTTTAAGTTTGGATTATACCTACCGTTTTATAAACTTCTATACTAAATAATTTCAGCCCCGCTCGACATATTTCACTTAGTTAATATTTGTATAGTTTAGCTGTCTTGTTATTGATGTTGCTGCTGACCCTTCCAATTCACTTCTGTCACTGTTGAATGTGCACCGATATTCCTATACAGCTTCCTAACTTTGATAATATGTTTTTGTGTTTCCCCAAAACCTCTGTTAACATTACAAGCAGTTCCTCAATACGCACTCTAAAATTAGAATTTACATTAATTCCCTGTGGACTCTGAGAAAATATTGAAATATTTTGACCAGTGATTAAGTGCATTGGTCGTTAAAAAAAAGTATTTTAAACAAATCCTTTGTGTACTCTGGTAAATTAAAATCTGAATGGGCAATATTTTATCGGGTAATCCCGGTGAGCTTAGGTTGTCTTGCTGTAACATTGTAGGCCCAAGTCCTGTCTTAAGGCGAACATGTCAAGGAACCGATGATGAAAACACTGGAATGGGTCTGAGTACATAATATATATCCATTGACAATACACTTCACCTTTACCTCCGTGTCTTACCGTGTTGAGCCTTAGGAAACACGGCGAATAATATTATGCGGATCGCTAAGACGGAAAACGCTGCTGTAAAAGGGCTGCTGGGAAAAACATAACGAAAATTAATCACCCGATGATCAAATTTTTATCCGGCCCATCACACAAATTCATTTTTCTCGACTACACCGAATTCTGGAGTTTAGGATGTACAGAATTCCAATAACGTGCACGACAGACTTAATCCAGACAAATATTGTACGATCCGAGAGATTAAAGAAAGGAAAAGATACAAAAAAAAAATACCGGCGAACGCACAATAAATCGACCAGATGACAAAACCTCTCAGTGATCATATCTTTGAAAAACATCAAGTTCAAAAATCGTACACCGCCGGAACTGCTTCCATAAAGAGTTGCAACTGAAAATGTCAATCGACTGTCGTGAACTATTGTAATATAATATTAACGCAACGTTATATACATCATAATACATTGAGCATGTTTAATACAAATGAATCTAATTTAAAATATTTGAATGGACCATTATTTTGGATACATTTCTAGCTATTTTCAAAGTCAGAGAATTATTCAAGGGGAATTTCGGGTGAATATAATTATACTGAATAAATATATACTAGAATAGTGAATATATATATATATATATATATATATATATACTCCAGTCAAATATATTATATATTTTAATATTATTCGATTTTTAAATTATACAAATAGACATACGAAGCGCGTTTCATGCGAGTTCAATGCTTTGCGAATGTATCTCCAATAACAAAAGTATATATACTATGTAAAGGAAAACTTCAAATACCTATACATTTTATTATTGAAAAAATAAACCATTATATTATAGATATTTTATTTTACTGTGAAAAAAAATTCTGTTAATACATTGTGCCAGCATAAGGCCATATTTGGCATGCACTATGTTGGTAATATTATTATCGTATCGACTCGAACATCGTGGTATTATAAAATGATTATTAAGACAAAGTTATATAGTACCTAATAAGTCAAGAATTTTCGTTATCTAGTCATTGTTAAACACATAATACATATAGACATTACTATTAATTGTAAACTGGAACATAATATAATAACGTAATGAAATCAAGACGCTAAAATCTAATACGGAGCATCCCGCAAAGGCTTCTTAATGACGTGGATAAATGTATAAACTACAAAGGAACGCGCTCTGTTCCCAACAGTTAATCACGGCCATAAGAGTTTAGGTAACATAAAAAAAAGTCCTATCATAATAATGCTACTTTTAATTTTTTTTCCCCCGCCCAATCCTCAGGTATAATAATATTACAAATGAACTTAATTATTTAATAATATTTTAACGTGCAGTTTCTCAACCACGGTAAACGGCGGTCGTTTGTTATTTACCCGCAACGTCTCCTGGCTAATTAATTTAGAAACTTCTAGTTTTAGCTGCAATTAAGAACTTTGGTTTTAATGGGAATTCATTTTTGAGCGTTATAGGATTATCACAAACTTTAGCCGGCATACCTCGGGCTTTGTTCTAAGCGCACAGCACGCGTTGTAAACAAATACACTGTACGTGGGGGGCGGTTTTTTTAGCCAAACACCACACGACACTGAACTACAATATATATATTTAAATTAATTTTGAGAATAATAATTGACCCGATATATGTGTATAAGGGATAAGGAATTTCCAGCAAAATATCTCTTACCTTTACTGACGCCCGTGAATTTGTCCCGGAGCAAGTTGAGCTGGTACACCCGTCCGAATTCGCCAAACATCTCCATCAAGTCCTGTTCGTTCATTGCCCGGGGAATTTGTCCCACGAACATTTTTATGTAATCTGGTTCGGGTTGTTCGACGTCATTGTTACTATCGGTACACGACGTCGGAATGGACATATCAGAGTCACTGCAAACAAAAAACACAATCATCCACCGCCGGTTAGTCGAAGAGCATCACAATTAAACATAATACCTATTTACATTATTTGGTCGTGTCATACATAAAACCTTTACAACTACGCGACACCATCTACAAAGTATACTATTATCGTAGAAGGCGTTTTTAAAGAAAGGGTTCGTCGTTGAAAACGGTTTTCACGCGATTTACAATATTAGTTCTTAGGTATTCGATTTGCATGTCAACAGCGCTCTGGAGGAGAAAAGGCGGAGAGAGATATTCCGTTATTGTTTCCCGGGCCGATTAAAACGAAACGTTTTTGCCATTTCTCGGGGGCGCATTACAATAGCCATCGTTTTATCGGGCACCGGCTACATATATAATACAATATACATTGTACATTGTGAACGCCTGTCGCGCTACCGCATCCTTATCTGCCCGTACACACTCCAGTACCGAAATTGCATATGCATGAACGCCTCGTAATGAGCGAACGCCTTCGAAATCGCACCGAGCTGGTAGTGCCCGAATTTTGCCGGCCGAACGGGTCCGAACAACACAAACGTGTCACTTGTCACAGCAGACGTTATTCTCATTGTCATCGCTTCATAGCACACATATTGTTATTATCATCATCATCTTCTCGACTGGTCATAGCGCATTCATAACGGCGTGCGCATAATAATAGGATTTCCCGCGATCAAATTTAGTAAGAAATAAAAACGTTTAAAAAATAAGCATAAAAAGCGTTTAAAGTTCGAACAAGCCGGGCTGGAGATAGAAAGAACTAATTAGGCAGATAACGAGATGGAAAGTCAATACAAAGATAACCGTTTGAAGTCATAGGCCACAGCGGATGGACAGAGTGGACGTAGATCTCAAAAGAACAAGAAAACACAATAGAAAAAAAGCAGGGCAGTAAGTCGTTGGGGTAATGGACCTTAAAGGCTCGCCAGTAAAAAGAAAAGGAGACATTTTTTGTAACTAACGAGGTCGAAATTATTTTTATCATTAAAACTAATTAACTCAAAATTATCACCAACGGGCAGTAGGTAAATTATTTCAACACTTTTTTGGTTGAAAAGTGACAAGTTTCATATTGACAGTGATATACATCACATAGCACACATACCGAATTAATTGAATACATTAATTTTGATTCAACGAATAAATTGTTTAGCATTATTAAAAAAAAAAAATTAAATGAATAAACAAATGATAGAATTAAATATGTAATTCTCTTCAAAAGTATATAAGATACGACATAATATTTTGGCAACTTGCCTTATAGGTCTGAAAAATGTAATTTTAAAAATTTTCAACTTTACACGGATGCATAAGTCGACAAATGATAAAGCTGAGAATATTTGAACTGTTCAAATAGTCTAACTGTATACACACATTTGATCTATTTTCAGACGTATGGTCTTTGTAGTGTAGAGGTTATTGTACTAGGTGTCTTCTAGATTCTCCATGAAATTAAATGAACCGATCAAATAGCAGCAGGTCATATAGTCATAATAACGGTACGTTATATTTGGGGTAGAGGAGTTACCTTCGTGGTACAACGACGGCAAAACATTAAGGTTTCGCTAGTCTTACCGATTTAATTAAGTCGCCAAGAAGCATGAAGTGATTTAGTAGAACCCTTACGAACGGTTTCGTTAAATTATTAACGTTTATGTTCCGGGTTCTATATTGGTCAAACACAACGGCTTAGGGTTCTTAGCTCTAGTATCAATTCAGTTGTAGGACTTAGGTTGGGAAACCTAATTCATTTGGTCCAGGCGTAGACTAAAGTATTAGCCATCGAAGTCATCTCCCACCATCATTCTCAACTATGACCATTTGACCACTTACGAGTTCTTCCGGTGCGTTTTATTTTTCATTTTACACATAACGTTGTTTCTACTCTTAACCGCTTTTCCATCTTGTCTCCGGCCCAAAGCAATGTGACCACAATTTATGGTTTATTATGTGTAAGTATTACCATATTATGATATACATATATATATATATTTAAATCTACTAAAATGAATAAAGGTTAAAAAAAACCCTGTCAGGCAGGCGGGTCGGCAGGTCTTTACACAAAATGTGATCACGTGCTATCTCGCAAATGCGATTTCCGTGTACCACTGACACAAAAGCTCACGTCCCTCTACCGTTTTTTGACCATTAAACGTGTACGTCCGCAGGTCATACCTAACCGTATACCGTGATCCCAACCCTCGTCCGTTACCTAAAGGGGGCACATGCATTCTCCCTGTCAACAGTATGTGTGCGTTCCAACATTGTGCAAGCCGTTGCAACCACGAGGATGTGACGGAATGCTGCACACAATGGTCCGAAAGGTAATGGAAAAAATTTCTATTGATCAGAATTTTACACAAAAAAATTAAAAAAAAAAAAAAAGGTCGTACCTAATGTTTTTGGGGTCGTTGAATTCGAAGTTGATATCACCACTTATTTAAAAGGAGGTGGAAACGTGGGGTGTTTTTTGAATTTTGTAAAAAGAAAATAGTTTCTCCATTGACTTGTATGGAAATCTCATACTAATAGTACTTTTAATAACCTAAATAATGAAAAAAATCAAGTCCTTGCTTCCATTTATTCGTGTGATATTGTATTTATACAAATTTGTGCCAAAACCAAGTAAAAATATATTCGTTTTATACACTGTCATTTTTCTTATAATCTTGTAAATCTTATTTTATAGTCTTGTATATTGAAATAAATGTATAAAAATGTTTTGTGCCGGTGATAGGTTTAATGACAAATATTTTATTAGCTTTCGGGCTCATGGTGGCGTTTTTAATGCGAAATTCGGTTATCGAAGACAAACCAGTCCTTGGCCTTAATCCCGTGCCTGATTAAAGTGATTGGCGAGAGGGCCTAGGGTCGACGGAGCGTAGCACGTTATCTCTGTGCGTTTCCCGCCATATAGTTATATGTTTGCCGGTGCTCTAGACGGCGTCGGCTGACATTCTGAATATTCTGACTTTGGGTTAATTTATGCGGATTACACCCCCTCGGGGGGGTCCATGCTAATGTTCACAGATAGATTGATTTGTCATGATACCGCAGTTGGATTCTGCGAATGTGAGGTTATATCCAGCGGTGACGTGCGCGGTGTTTATCGGCGACGGGCCGGCAATAAACGAGCAGTGCCCTTTCGGGCGACCGAGATAGCGCAGACACGGAAAACGATGACAGTTCATAAAGTCCTCGTCATTTCGGTCTTAATTGACGTTGGGGAAAAAACTTATACCGGCCAAACACTATTAGCGACGCCGATAAGCCGTCGAGTAACGTTTTCAACGACTAATACTTCTGTGGATCTCGATGAAGTACAATAATATAGGAAAGAAATGATAAACCTTAAGAAACCCTTGCTTCAGCCGGGTCTTCCGTCTTTAGTCCGTAATCTCTGCCCTGCTCTGGAAACTACGTGGCGACCAATAATAAATAAACAACCACGCCTTGCAATAATAACCTAGGTACTTTGATATAATCATTTAACTGCAAGTCGTGTAGACAAAACAAGCGATTTGTGTAAAACGTGAAATTTAATTTGAAAAAACCGAACGTTTTTGATATGCGTCATTTTATAAACTTTAAACTTGGACGAAAACAAGATGGCTTTGGCAGCGGTTTAAAATTGTTCGAGAATTGTGAACACAATAATTGAAAGTCGAAAATTGTTTGACATTTTCGTGTATGAACATCATTGAAGGACAAGGGTAATAAAACGGATGAGATAGGTACCTAATATTCGTTGGAATGGCACAAAAAATGTGTATTAACGCGGACAATGCCATCGAACAACAACATTCGATTACATAAACTTGCAATGTTAAATAGAAATTTTGATATATTCTCATTTCTAGTTGTACAATAATAATAATATGTCACGAAGCGAAATTTAATAATAAAAAAAAACCCCATGACCGAGCACTTTTTTAAGGTCATACGATGGTAATTTACTTCGGTCCGAGTTGTGTGTGTAAGAGCCGAAGGGTTTCAATAATTCACGATTATTGATTTTTTTTTTGTCCATTCGCCATAAGAGCACTATAATCAAATGCCATACAACATAAACAAAATCTCAAAACAGATATTAATATATTTTACAATTTTCTTCCATCCATACAAGTTGATAATATAAGTACAGTACAGTATAAATGTCATTGTTTTACTATCCCACACGGACAACTATTTATATATCAAAATTCAAAGTTTAGTAGAAAATAATATACATTATAACGTATAATATTTATTAAAATAATATTATTAAACCATTAACTGTGTTTTTTATTTTTATAATTCTGGACAAATATTTCTAGCTACATCATGTTTTTCAATGAATTATTTTCAAAATATGTTATTGCTATGTTATCATTTTAACTATCATTCTTTATAGTTCCCCATATTAAAAACACATATTTTGTTTTCTTAAAAGTATTAATTACTAAAGGAACACTGTTCGACGTCAAGTAATAACAAAGTTCGCAGAGACTAGTTAAGAACGCTATGTCTCGTGGGGTACGCATCTGTTTTTTCCTGTTCGCTTTGTAGTGCAAGACCTAATTAAGCATGTCTCATTTAACAAGGCCGGTAATAAGGAGTTTGGGAGCGAGGTGAATAAATAAACAAATAAGGAGTTCCGGTGGAGTTTTAATTATTTTTGGCGCGGTGATAATTAAAGTGAATATTCAGTGGTAGTCGGAAATTTTCCAACGCTAATTAGTGCTACATTTACGGCGAACAAGATGTAACGCTAAGCTCTTGAAGAAGTTAAGCTCGGCTTTTTGTTGTTATTATTATTATTATTATTATTATAGAGATAACCGTAGTTTTTAAAATTGCCAACAAATCTCTCAGGTCACTTGATTGCCATCTGTTAAAAATTTGCATAAGCGACCGCCGGGGAATAAAAATTTCCCCTAGTTTGTTGTACGTAACCGGCCCGTCTAATGCGGTGATAATTTGACAAGCGCTTTGAGAGGTGC